GAATTACCTCACAGTGACTAGACCTGACATTTCTTTTCCGGTGAGTGTTGTAAGTCAGTTTATAGATTCTCCCTGTGATAGTCACTGGGATGCAGTTTTTCGCATTCTTCGGTATATAAAGTCAGCTCCAGGCAAAGGATTACTATTCGAGGATCGAGGCCACGAGCAAATTGTTGGATACACAGATGCTGATTAGTCAGGATCACCTTTTGATAGACGTTCTACGTCTGGATATTGTGTTCTAGTAGGAGGTAATTTGGTCTCGTGGAAGAGCAAGAAACAGAATGTAGTTGCTCGATCTAGCACCGAAGCCTAATATCGGTGTCACACCTCCTTTTTCCCGCAGGGATAGGGTAGTTTTTCCAATTTAAGTGACATTAATCGAATTGAGATTATTTATTTATTTTTTAGAGTCGCCACTTGGAATAATTTATGGTGTCCCAAGTCACCGATTTATTTTAGAATCCCAAATCGAGAAAAATTGACTCTTATTTATGGTCTGCGAACACAGAAGACCGGGTAAGGAATTCTGTTAACCCGAGAGAAGGTGTGAGGCACTCTCGAGTTCCGTGGTTTTAGCACGGTCGTTCAACTATTAATAATTGGCCTAGTTATTTGATTTAATACATGTTTTAAACCTATATGTGCATTTTTATTCCTTTTACCGCTTTTATTACATTACTGCATTTTAAACTTTTATGGAATTAATATTAGACGAGTTACGTTGTCGTACACTCGTTGTTTATACACATCGCAAATCGCGTCACGTGAAACGCACCCGCAATCTACAACGCGTTTAATTTTATTTATTATTATTTGAAGTTGTGGTCGAGTCACGTGAAATGCACACTCGAATTGGGGATTACGTATCGTGACTATGCCACGGAAACCGTACCCACAATCACGATGATTTATTATTAATCGCGCCTAAAGCAAGCTACGATGTTCGAATATTATTCAATTACTAATTTTGAGATTATTGTAAGGTCATGAGGTATGTAATTATTTGTGGAAGAATTGGATTTATTATTTATAGAAAAGTGGGCTAGTTTAGAGAAAGATGGGCCAGCTATGTTATTTATTACTTTGGGCCTGATGAGACTAAATCTTTTGGCCCAAAATCTTTTCTTCTCCAACAGCCCAAAAACCAATTTCCTTATAAACAAATCGTGGCCTAAGCAAATTATCCAACCCATTATCCCATATTCTGTACATTTCTTAAACAAAACTAATGACACCACAATCTCATGAACAAAATTAGTAAACAAGCCAAATTACAGTGATTCACTAGACCCTTTATCCGATTAAATCAACTCAAAACAAAACTTTGCAATTCTAAAATTAACATCATGGTCCAATAAACATATGAACAAGGAAACAATCAGATTCAAATGATCCAAATATCAATAGAGTGAACTACTACTTCATGCTACCCAATAATCACACCAATAGACAAGACGGTAAATGGACAATTATAATCAGTGAAGAAAGGGAAATAACGGACCTTTGATATAAATTAACAGAGATGAAATTACAAGAGCGCTAAACAATTCGACGAGTGTTGACTGGAGCTTTCACCGGCCACGAAACCTCGAACAACAAATCGCGACTTGCAACCCCGATCGACCTTGCAAGACCGGTGATTTAGTGGCTTGTTTTTGCTGGGTTTAAAGGCTATTTTTTTTTGGGGGGGGAGGGGTGATTTTGCTGGATTTTTCGAAAGAAAGACGAAGAAAGAATGACACGAGTAGAAATTTCCATATCCTAGAAGAAGAAAATAAATTTCTCTCAATTCCTTCCTCCCTATTTTTTCTCTTTCCTCTCTTTTTTTCATCACATTTCTCTTCCATTTATAGAAAACAATTTCGGAATTTTCAGATTTTTATTTTTTATTAATTTTTTTATTTTTAATTAAAAAGAATTTCCACTTCCCATTTTTCTTGTTTTTTTTTAAAAATAATTCCCCACTTTCCTTTACTTTTATTTTTTAATTTCTCACTTTTTTTACTTTTAATATATTTAAAATCCCACTTTTTTATTTTTCTTTTTTTATTTCCCACTTAATTTACTTTTCTTTTTTTATTTCCCACATACTTTTACTTTTTGAAAAAAAAAATCAGATACCCTTACTTTTTATTTTTAAATTCCAACTTTATTTTACTTTTCATTTTTTAAATTTTCACATTCTTTTACTTTTATTTTTTTAATTTTCCACTTTCTTTTACTTTTTTTATTAAACAATTTCTACCTACTTTTACTTTTTTTATTAAATAATTTCTACCTACTTTTACTTTTACTTTTTTTATTAAATAATTTCTACCTACTTTTACTTTTACTTTTTTATTTTATATTTCTACTTTTCCTATTTTTTAATTCCCATTCGAAATTTGTTTTAAAAAAAAAATAATAATTAATTTTTATTTATTTTCGGTTTTTAATTCATTTTATTTAAAAATAAAGATAAAAATAATACTAATAGTAATAATTGACCTTTTAAATTATTAATAATTTTTCTCTATATATATATATATATATATATAAGTGTAACAAAGCTAAAAAATATATATTAAATTCTGAAAATATTTACATAGTAGAAGGTGATAAAAATTCAAATATAGTCAAAAATTAGGTGCTCACAATCGGGCCATGGCTGTGGCGACGTGTGAGTTAGTTTGGGTCAAGCAGTTGCTCAAGGAGTTAAAGTTCGGAGAAATCAGCAAGATGGAACTAGTGTGTGATAACCAAGCTGCTCTTCATATTACGTCAAATCCGGTGTTCCATGAGAGGACTAAACACATTGAGATCGATTGTCACTTTGTCAGAGACAAATTTGTAAAGTCGAATGATCAACTAGCAGATATTTTCACTAAGTCTCTTACTGGTTCTCGTATTAGTTACATGTGTAACAAGCTCGGTACATATGATAGGGGAATGTTAGTTTACAGATATGTATAGTGTAGTCTTGTCCCACATTGGAAGAGGAGTAATATCTCCCTATAGTGTATAGCTATAAATAGGGACCTCTTGTATTGTATTTATCATCCAATATCAATAACATATTTTCTCCCGTGCCTTCTTACAGCGTGGATAACATAACATTAGGCCCAACATTACGTAAACCGAAAATATGGATAGGCCTAGCTCTGATACATGTTAAGTAAATGGATTATGGGCCTACCTCAACCTCAAAACGTCACCAGGTGAGAATTGCACAAAACCATATAACGAGACAACACATTCCCTCAACTAATGTGGATACTTAACTGCTGAAGTGTATAATCATCTCATCTAAAAGTTTAAGCTGTTAGAGATAGTAGACCTTTATTTACTTAATTATATCGTCAGCATCCCCCCTTACGTGGCCTGTTTTCATGGGCAAACACGTGAAAGTTCTTTTCGATCATGGTGGCAGTGAAACTCGAACTCAAGACTTCTGCCTACTCTGATATCATGTTGATACCATATTAAAGTTTATGACCATCTCATCTAAAAGCTTAAGCTATCAAAGAGGGTGCATTTTTATTTACTTAACTATTTCTTCAATATTTCAATATCCATTTTGAAGAAATGACACCAACTCTAAGAAATATGTCTTTTCTGCCTTTACAAGCACCTGAAATTATGTTAGCAGTAAAAAGAAAATTCTTAGTGTTTATAAGTGCTTATTTAGCTTTGCTATTAAGTAGAACCATGTGAAAATATAAGAAGTAAGATTAGGAGAATTCCTTAAACAAGTGTCTTAGGAGCTTACAGATAATTTAAACAAAAGAAAAATAATTATCTTTGATGTGGGATCAGTATATTTAATTTAGCATATTCTAACATTCCAAAACTCTCCTAAAAACCCAAAAAGGAGAATTTACCTTTGCAAAAAAAATGAAGCATAGAATCTTAAGTGGAAGTGATGGTCAATATGCTACAACTCATGATTAACAGTGCTAATATTGCTGAAACTATAAACAATATCAGAGTAGTGAGAAACAACGAGACAAAAGAGAGGTATGTTACTGCCAGAATGATCACCAGAAAGAGGCATAGTAGCGGAACAATCGGCTTGAACGACCATCGAAAGGAGGAATGGTGCTGCAAGAACAGCCCTTAGAAAGAGACAAGGTGCTGCTGCAACAGCCACCAAACAAATACTGAAAATAGACACCTAGCTGTTGGAATGGTCAGCAAGAAGAGATTTAGGATAGCAAATGAAATCTTGAATAAGAACATTTGGCTAGTAAGCCAGCCGGCATAAGTGAACAATTAAATCTCCACCAAAGTATAATACTTTCTTCCAATTAAATCTTACCCTTGTGAGGCTTTATAGATAACTGACAAAGTATAATACTTTCTTCCAATGTGGGACATCACATGTAATACAACATAATACGCCAATTAAAGGAACTCCAGTTAAAAGAACTGTTTTCAAATAATACGTGCCCATAGACATATACATCTCATATAATGAGAGGGGCAAAGTCATATCTTGCTGGACATACTTGATATATGGCTGTAGATGACTCAGATTGTCATACACTGCTTGTACATAACTTTTTAACACCTACTTGGTGTTTTCTTAATCAAATCTTTTGACTTGTTGAAGTGTGCGGCCATCTCGTCAAAAGCCTAAGTTGTTACAGAGAACACACTATTATTACTTAATTTTGCATGCAACACACTCCCTCACGTGCAGGCCTCATAGCCAAGCACGTGGAATTCTTTTTGGTAGTGATTGACAGTGAGATTCGAACCTAGGACCTCTGTTTGCTCTGATACCATGCTGAAGTGTATGGTCATCTCATCTAAAAGCTTAAGTTGTTAAAGAGAACACATTTTTATTTATTTAAGTTGCTGATTCACACAGCACGAGAGTCCATGACATGATAGAAAAAAGGAAAAGGAAAATCTCTAAAATGGTACAATGAAGCATTTGTTTACGAAGACAATATTCATGAATAATTACAGTGAAAAGCTAGTTGTATATATAGAATGAGCAGACAGAAATATCAAAGGAAAACTTTTACCTTAGATGTACTTTCTCACGAGCATTTACATCCATATCGGCGTGATAGTGATCGGCTGAAATTCCCCTTTTACGCAATTCTTGTGCAACCTACAGTTTGTGACCAAATAAGAAGGTGAAACAAAAGTTTGAGATGTAACAACAATAAGAAAATCGAAACAACACAATGCAAATACAATGTAGGCAAAAAGAAAAAAAACTAAAAGGAACAAAAAATTATTTGCTAATTCATCTACTACCCTATAACTTTAAAATGAATTAATCACAAAATTTGCCCATTCATTACCAACAAAATTGCTGTCTCTCCACACTTCTATTAGAGGGGCAGGACTAGATATTGTTCACTGCTATATACAGTAGATTCGCCAAGGCTAAAAGTTAAAAGCTAAACATTGATGTAGTTCTCATCTTGATGTGACATTAGCCTAACCACTCCGTTGTAAGAAAACATCATCTACCCCCTTCTCCCTCTCTCTCTCTCATATTGGTCAATAATAGGGAAAAGACACATTTAAGTGGTTGAGACCTAAGTTACTCGGACTCGGCATTTTGGGCGCCACACGGGTAAGGGTGTGGGATCTGGGTCGGATCCGGTCAAACGAGATCGGGTGTGTTGACCAAAATTTTGGGGAAAAGTTTGAGAATTGATTTCCCTAAGTAAAGATTTGAAGAGATGGGAAACGAAATACCTTCAATTCCGCTGCTATGTAGTAATTTATACTAGTCCTTTTGAAGCTTTTTGTCTTGATCAATCTTCTTGTTCATGCTGCAGGTTTCTGAAATCAAGAGCTCTAGTATTTTTTTTTTTAGGGCAGAGAAGTTGTAGATGGGTGGTGGACTACTGGACTGAGGCTTATTGGGGAGGGCTCGAATGGGTCTTGTTCTACTGGAAAAAAGCAGAGACATGGAAAAAAATTTGTTGGGGAAGAAGAAGAAGACAGCGATGCACAGAATAAGGAAAAAAGAAGACTTAGACTAATTAGGAATTGACTACTTTATTAGTTGATATGTTTGTTAATATTCTGCCACTTGCTTTATGAGATAAACATTACATATACTATGTCTTAAATAGTTTTAAGTTTATAAAAATTACAGTTTTAATTGTACCAAAAATAGTTATAGTTTTAATCAAAATAATAAATAATTATTTAATTGTAAACTAAATATAATTGTATATGCTTTAAAGACACATATTTTTATTTTGAGTAAACTTCATATATATTAAATAAGTATATGCTCTAAATAAACAAATTTTATTAATTTACCTAATTATACTATTTATAAATATTTTCTTTCTCAAAGAAACGCGGGATAAGTTCTAAATTAATTATTAGCATGTAAATTTTTTGACAAATTACGTTCACGCAAAGATCATGAAAATTTATAAATTGTACATAATAGAATTGACCCTTTAGTTCTCCACTATATGCTATGTTGTGACACATATTTTAAGACTAATTATAAATTACATGATTTGAGAATGAGCTAAAATAATTTTAAAAAATGACAAAGAAGAATATTCTTATATTATATTTGATTAGCACCACCAATTAATATTGAGTTATCGAAATACTTGAAATATAATTAATTATTCATGGCTAATGTTATATTGCTTTCAAACAAATCACATTAATTGACTAGGGAACTCTTCTTGTTAGATCATTTGATTCTTTCTATCAAATAGAAGTTATGAACTATCGAAATACTTGAAATCTAAATAGATGTTTGATTGGAATTAACGATTGACTTTATCTCACTAATTTGACCGATAACAAGATATATCCACTATCGTATTAGGAATCCCGTCTTGTTAGATTGTTTGATTCTTTCTATCAATACAAGTTCTAGAATATCGAAATACTTTAGAAATATGACATAAGCGAATTTTAGAAGATAAACAAAGAATGAGAGAACTTAATAACACTTAATTTATACAAGTTAAAGTAAATTAAATTTATTCAAAGACTTATATTCTTATATTATATTTGATTTGAACCACCAATTAATATTGAGCTATTGAAATACTTGAAATATAATTAATTATTCATGATTAAGGTTATATAGCTTTCAGACAAATCGCATTAATAGACTAGAGTAGGAAACTCTTCTTGTTAGATCATTTGAGTCTTCCTATCAATACAAGTTATGAACTATCAAAATACTTGAAATCTAATGAAGATATAGAGATTTCACAAAATAGGCTCAAATGCTTTCAAAGATATTTCAAGGATCCGAATGATTTAAAGAAAGCTTCTTTGGAGTATGGGGCATTTTGTTGTGGGAATGGTTACTTTGGTGAGCCTCATGTGATTGATGCTATGGGGTATGAGGAACCTTTATCTTGGTGGGCTAACCATGGTGTAAATGCTCCACTTTTACAAAGTTTAGCTTACAAATTGTTTTCCCAGCCAGCTTCTTCATCTTGTTGCGAGAGAAATCGGAGTACTTTTTCATTGATTCATAGCATCAAGAGAAACAAGCTAGCTACTTCTAGAGCCGAAGATTTAGTTTTTATCCATTATAATCTTCGCTTGCTCTCTCGAAGAAAGGAAAAGTATACAAGTGGTCCAAGCAAATATTGGGATTTAGGTATATCCGTATATGTATATCCATTATTTGATATTTCTTGAGTAATTTTTTTAGCATGATGAGTTCCTTTCACAATCTTCTAAATTTATTTTGGTGTTGTTTTAGGTGGAGATTATTTTAATATTGATGAAAGTATCAATGATCTAGTTGAATTGTCAATAGACGAACCTCAACTAGAAGGAGTCTTCTTTGAAGATGAAGTTCAAGATTTGCAAGAAGTTGACATTGAAGAGATTGAGAAAGATGACCTTTGAATAGAATAATGTACTCATGCACAATGTTTCAAGTGACAAGTCTAGCATAGTTTAAATGTGTATGTTGTGTACTTATTTTTTGTCTATGAACTTGTGAACTTACAATTTCTGTAAGACTTTTTGGTGGTCATTTGAGTAACTTAATTTGAATAGCTAATTATTTAAAACTTTTGACTAGTGACTCTTGAATATATGTTAGTCTATTTAGTTCTAAGTTCTAACTTCTAAAGGTATGTTTCATTTCTTTTGTATCTCTAAATCTCTTTATAACTTTTATTTGTTATATTTCAACAAGTTTATAATAACTCATTTTAATACTTTGCTGTGCGAGTTGTAGGAAAATTAATGAATCATGCCATTTTGGAGAGTGTCTACATGCCTGCCTACAACTTGAAAACTAAATGACTCAGTTACTATACTCTACACGGCACAAGTTACACGTAAGTTTTCCATATAATCTCTCATAATTATGCATATCTCTATAGCTATATTTCTAGATTTTTAATTTATTTTTGCCGAATCCCCGCACCCGTACCAGTACCTAGATCCGTATCTTCGAATCCTAAAATTTAGACCATGAAGGATCCGACCTTTGGATCCGATCCCGTGTCGGACACCCGCACCCGAGTCCGAGTAACTTAGGTTGAGACCACTCAAAACTAAAATGTGGAACGCAATGTAATAAACCAATTATGTATTCCGTAAGAGCTGCCAGACCAATCAAAAAGATAATGAGCTCAGAATGTTCCAGGTTTCCGGCCTTATACACGAACCAATAGACTATATCTGAACCAGTGATGCACCTCCTTAGAATTTTACAGTTCGTTGTGTGACCAAAACCACAATGTCTCACCAAGTGAAAATAGAACAGAATATTCCAAAATTAGCATCATTAATCTACCGTACAGTCTATCTAAACACAATGAGAATGGACCTTGTTGCGCCTTTTTGCATAAGATTGAAAGTTTGAAACTATGTTTTTGTGAATAACATCCCTCTTTAGCTTCTCATAAATAAATAAAAAACGAAGTAAACTTCTTTACTTCTTTTCTGGGGAAAGATTGTAACCAAATTAGGTATAAGAAGAAGGATTTGAAAGTGAATATCCAAAGGACGTAAGTTCCAAAAGCAAGTGCTAGAGTGTGGACAGCTAGAACGAGTTAAATTACAAGCTTAAGCAGGTTGTATAATTATTTGATTTTCTGTGAGCTAAGCCCCAAAACAGGATAAAATTCCAGGGAATGTACTTATTTAATAGAAACAGGATAATCATAAGCATTTCAAAGGAGGAAAGCCAATTTAGATGCAAGTACATCACGAGAAAAGAACATCACAAACCCAATTCTTCTCAGAAACAAAGCATGCACCATTTCCTAGCCTAACAAGAAAAAGGTATCAAAAGAGGATGATGAACTTTAATGGCTTGCATAATAGATGTTGGACACAAAATATAACCCGAGCTAAACCACCTCCACCAAGGATAAATCACAAGTTCAAGATTAAATACATTATTCTTTTTTGGCGAAATACATAAACGGCCCCTTTAAGTTGTCCTCAACGATCACACAGACACTTCAATTGACCCCTTTACCATTTTGACATTTCAAGTGGCTATTAAGTATTTCAAGTAAACACCTCGCGCTGACATGGCAAATCAGTTGTGTCTCTCTACAAATTGAGCGCGTGAGGACTTCATTAACATTTTTTCTCCTTTTCAGTTTAAATTATTTTGTGTGGCCCACGCCAAAAGATGTTGAAGAAGAAGGAAAACAGCAACACCCCCCAAAAAAAAAACTTTTCTACAATGAAGATGACGATATGATGAAAGATTCTATTGATGCCTGAGAGTTTATTCTGAAAACAAAAATTGGAAATAAGTACTATGAAGTATATTGAGGATTGTTGATATTTCCAGATCTGTTGCTCAAAACTAGGAATTGAATAAAAATATTTGAACAAGAAAGCAGGAAAAAATTTAGAAATAACGGTGGAGAATGAAAAAAAGGTTTCTTTTTGAGCTGAAAAGTTTCTCTCAATTAGTAGGAGAAAATATTAAAGCTTTAAAGCTTTAGGCTTTAAGAAATTAGCAATAACAGAAAGTAAAAAAGCGAATTCCTCCCTCATTGGCGGCGCCAGCGGCGGAGGAAAAAAAGCAATTGAGAACTCTAAACCCTAGCAGTTTCCATTGTTGCTGCTGTGTTGCAAGATGAAGAAGAACGAAAGTTTTGGGATCTGACTAAATGTATTACCGTGAAATGCATACATCTAAACCCAAAGCCCCTTAAAATTTGATTAATCTTTGAGGTAGCTAGGATGGGCGAGCGTGTTGGAAGGGCTCAGATGGTTTTTTTTGTTTTAATCAAAATTACAAGTGTCACTTTTTAATTGGTTCATTAGGCAAGTGTAATTCACGCATATGGTCTGTGCACTCAGGTGTTTACTTGATATACTTAATAACTACTTGAAGTGTCAAAATGGTAAAAGGGTCAGTTGAAGTGTCTGTCTGTCTGATCGTTGAGGACAACTTAAAGGGGCTGTTTATGTATTTCGCCTTCTATTTTTGATAAGTAGTTAATAACATGATCCTTTCACAGCCTATCCTACTGATCAAAAGAAAATCATGCATGAGCTGCATCCTTTTTGCACAACCATTAGAGATTCTGAACAAGAAATCTCACCCAACTTGAACCACCAATAATTGATCACAGATCACAATCTGCCAACCTAGTCCAAGGGAGAAACAATAGAGTTTTTACAGGGTGGTTTATATGCTGTGTAATTATTTCAACTAAGCAAATATCAAGATATCAAGAGTTCCCGTTAGGCACCCAAGCAGTGAACTTCTAGCACCTGAATGCCTTGTAAAACTATTGCACATCCAATCAAGCACCATCACTCGTATGTGCCCGAGCACAGTGCAACACCATGTTTGTAGATACAATTAAAGAACGAGATAGAATCTTACACAACAGAGCTAGTGCTAGTACCTGTTCACACTCCTTCCTGGAGAAGCAATAAACTATCCCAGATTCATTATTTGGATATGATGCTAGAATATATTCAGCAATTTCATCAACCACTGTCTTTCCTACAGATGACTTCTCACGCACCTGCAAAATGAATCAGATAAATTTGAAACATAGATGCCCATTGCTGCAAAATTTATAATTGTAATTTACTTTTAGTACAGCTATACCATGTAGTAAAGATTGGGTCTGTTCACTGAACTAACAAACTTAATGCATCTAGGAATATGAAGCATCTCCATCAAATCATCCTGTACTTTCTTTGTTGCGGTTGCCTGGAAATAAACATTCAAGTCCAGATGCTGCTCAGGAATTGTTAATCAACAAAGTTAAACGAATAAAGGAGGAAATTTGTTCTCTTCAAGCTATAAGAAAATACATACTGTTAGAGCAACCACAGGAACATTCGGAAACTGAGTCTTTAAAATACCAAGATTTTTGTAATCTGGACGGAAATCATGGCCCCACTGGCTACAGCAATGTGCCTCCTGCAAGCAATTTGAGCAAAGTAATTGGCGTAAGTTGACATGTAGATCAAAGCGATGGCGTATTACTTCACTACTGCTGCTACAGATTATATTCAGTCAGCACCGGGGAAATTCCAAATGAAGAAATAAAGAATAGCATCCAAGAAATAGGGTTACTCTTCATTGTATTCCAAATAAAAAAGTTTTATTTCGCAGTTGACAGCAGCTTTCTATTGCAAACCAAAATAACTATTCATGAAACCATAAGATTTACAAGATGTGCAACAACTTTCAACGATTCAACTCACTAGGATACGGACATTCCTAATTATGACACAATTAGGAAGTATAGTCTATACCTTTAAACATACATTAAATCTAGAAAATTGTTGCATATAACTTGATTAATTTTCTTGACCTTCAACAAGCAAAAAAGTGAGAACGTGAAATATTATGTGGGATATGTAGCATCCTCGCCTGCTTGGATAAGCAGGACATTCCCTATGGATAGGGTGTGACAAAACCATAGAAATTGGAGACGAGCTCTAGTCTTTTACTCCAATTATCTTTTATCCCATAACAGAAAAAGGAAGGGGAAAAAAAATCTAGCAACACTTGATTCTTTCCACGTTCATCAAGCAGTACAAAGAGAGTTTATAGTCTGTGACATTACAAATCAGGGAACTTAATCCCCGTGATATCTTTCAGAATGCAACTATCATGATTCAATGGCATTTTTTGTATTATGCTTTGACTCACTTGTACCATTTTCATTTCTTTGGTCAAGATACTAAGGCTTCGAGGAGAAATTAAAATACTCAAGCAAAGCTAATAGGTTAACAAGATTTAAACATGCGGGCTCTACATTTCCTACTTGACGTGCAATGATCCATTCAAAAAAATCCAGAAGGGTCAAAAAAGGATCCATGTAGAGGATCTAAAGCTCATACGCGAATGATAAAAAGCTTATGTGAGATCAATAAAGATATCATATGTTCTTGATCAAACTTTCTTTTATTTGTGGATATCTTGTCCTTGCTTCTTGTACACATACATGTACTAGTCAAATGTAAGTTGCTCGGACTCGGGTGTAGGTGTCTGATACGGTGCGGATCTAGAGGTCGGATCCTTCATGATCTAAATTTTAAGATTCGGGGGTACGGATCTAGGTACGGATACGGGTGAGATTCAGCTAAAAATAATTCAAATATCTAAAAATAGAGTTATAAAAATATATCTAAATTATGAGACATTATGTGGAAAACTAACAAGGTATTCTGACAAAGAAAAAATATTGGTCAGAGGAGAATCCCAAAAGGAGATAAAAAGAAAGGACAAACATAGAAATTTCTATATACAAGGTATTTAATTTTCTTCAATTCCACCCTAACATTTATTTTGATTTCAAAAATTATTGTATTTGTTATTTCTTTGTCGATGTTGGTCAAAGTATCCAAACTTGGTTGACCAGATCCGGTACGAATTCCACACCCAGACCCACGTCGTGTCGACACGGGTGCGACACTAAAAGTGAAGAGTCCGAGCAACTTAGGTCAAATGTTTTATTTTTCTCTCTTTTAAACCGGGAACTTTGGTCTAATCCCCCATGAAGCCAATACAACAACAACAAATCCCACAAATTGAGGTATGGGAAGGGTAGTGTGTACGCAGACCTTACCCCTACCTTGTGCAGGTAAAGAGACTGTTTCCAATAGACCCCCGGCTCAACATAGTCGCAGCAACAAAGCAAAGGAAATAAAGCAATGAAAAAGACATGAAATAATTGTTATGCACAGGATAGACTGCTAGCCCCTCAAAGACAGAGATGAGAGAATGAAAAAGAAGAGATATCCTTAAAGATTCAAATACAGTATACGGGAGTGGGAAAATACGAAATTGTGGACTTACATCGATTGAAATTAAAGAAAGACGACCAGCATGGTGACACTTTTCAAGTTTTGACATAAATCTCTTGCTCTTGGATATCTTTTCTGGTGTAACATACAATATTTTAAGCTCATCATCGCCCTTCTCCAAAGCCTTGTATATGAATTTCTCATTATCCTTGCTAGTTGTTGAGGTTAACATGAAAGCTGGGATGCCTAAAGCAGCCAACCCCATGACCTGAGGCAATAACGTTTGTCAGCAGTTGTTGCATTTAGTGGAAGATGGAAATGGGTGCTTAGATACCTGATCTTGAATAAGAGAAAGCAAAGGACTGACAACAAGAGCCACCCCATCACGAAGAACTGCCGGAAGTTGGTAGCAGAGACTCTTGCCCCCACCAGCAGCCATAATTACTAGAACATCCCTTCCACTCATTATTGCATTTATTATCTACAAACAAATTACTGCACATCAGAAAATCTCTAATTGTTAAATTCACAATTAAATTTGCAAAATTCGGCACTAGACAATTTAATGTACATCTTTACTTATGAGTTATGTGCATTTTGGATTCAGTAATATCCAAACAGTTGTATCTATCAATAATCTACAGAACGAGGAAAAGAAACGCACAGACAGATCAATTGAGATGATTAATGATTCGAAAATCAACCATTAAATTACTCCCAAATAAAAATTTCCAGAAACGGAACCTAGCCTGCAGGTTAGGGCAAATATTCCTCAAGCAACGTTAATTATTTTATTGTAAAGGCATCCCTATAAGACACTGAATCCCATTATTTTCTTCTTTGTCAATCTTGAATCCATTCCACGCCAGCTTGCACGCACCTCGACTATTAGAGTGGGTACCTGTTACCTCCCACCAAGGCTTATGCCTATCATACAACTGATTATGACCTGGTAGAGCTTTGATAGGCTGAAACTTCTATAGTTCATCCGTCACATGGTACTATCCATTGGAATATTCTTATCTATAATTTTTTTAAACAGGTAAGAGTATTATAGACCTTCAGTACAAAGGTTGTGCTGATAGCCACATTTACAGTTCATAAGAAACAAAAGTCCTTGTTCATCATTCAGCATCTTCTAATAGCTCCTCTTTACACCAAAAGTGAAACAACAATAAACAATTCATCTTGAATGAGCAAGACTGTGAGGATAATGGATAGCGTGCAAGTAGAAACAATTCTAAACTCTTGCAATGACTCACCAAAAATTAAATACCCCAATCCCCTCCCCTTCCACCTTTTATTCTGAAAAGTGAAATCCTTTTTGATAGGTTCACCTATACTAAAAAGAAGTTAGAAAAGAACAGATCTAGGTCATACTCAGACCTCTTGTTTTATGTTGACAACTCTGTGCCACACTTATTCTTAAAGATGAATTGTAAAGTTTCTGTAAGCATGCAAAACCTTGCAATATAAATCCAGTAAAAAGTAAATGTAGACAGGATGGACCAACCTCTCGCTGGTTTGCACGATATTTTGATATGCCAAAAACATTAAACCTAATGTCATCAGCTTGAGAGTCCCATACGAATGGCCTTGACCAGTCGTCTACTGAAACAGCAGCATTATCGTCACCCGGGCCACTAGATGATTCACAACTTTCCAACAAAGCTTTAAGTTCAGATTGTCTCTCATGCAATTTCTCTTGTTGATCTAGCAATAATTTTATTTGGTCTGGACAAGAAGACATTGAAGACAATGCTTTCAGATGGATGAATAATTCACAATGCAGAAGAACAGAAACTTCAAGCATTTAAGGAAGGAACTCCATCACAACAACAATAAACACAACAAAATGAAAAAAGGAAATTTAAAATCAACACATGAAATCATTAAAGATTAGCTGTAACGAGGTACCTAAACTCTTTGTTAATCAAAATGGTAGATGGGTGAGGATTGACTTGTCCAGAATAACATCTTATCTGAGTGATATAAATCATGTTGACTAAATTTATGTAAAAAGACAAATCCAAAAGGAAGTAATCCATGTTGGGAACCATGTTCATAAAGACAAGCCGGAGAAATGAGTTACAACTCAGACGTGCAATAGATTGTCTAAATTTTTCCGTTCTTTGAAAACGTCACACAACCTTGACATGTTGGTGCTTTAAAAAAAAAGTGAACACATTGATGCGAGCTGCGACACCAAATAAACCAAAAAAAAGGGATAAGGACATTTTAGAATTTTATGACATTTGTTCAATTAGCTAAGAGAAGAGGAGGAGAATCAAACGTTAACAGCTAAACTAAGATGACCCTCATCTACCATAGTCAACAAGTAATAACGCAAAATATATAAACTTGTCGATCAACACAAAATAAAAATATATGATTTCTGTATTACACTGCCGGACAGAAGAATATGCAATCCCTTAATTTATTAGAAAACATCATGTTGGCCTTCAATCTAGTTTGCTAGATTAATATTATTCTTTAAACATTCAATTTATTTTGTTGGCTACCCCACGGATATTTGATTATTTTCTCATAAGAGGTGCGCCAAATGCCAACCTCCAAAATTTTCTTATGAAATACTCTATCTTAGTTTGACTTGGCACAAACTCTAATAAAGAAGGGAAAACTTTTGAGATATGTGGTCTTAAATAAGCCATAGCACTTGTGTAGCTGTAAACTTTTGAAATTTGTGGTCTGAAACTTGTCATAGCATTTGTGCGGCTGTAAATGCTTCCTATTAAGGAAATATTGAAAGGTGTCAATCTTTTTGAAACAAACTAATAAGGAGATAGTGCCAATCTTTTTGAAACAGAGGGAGTAGTATAATACAGTGGGTTATGCCGAGTTAAGTAAAGAAGGCATTGTATAGCTGAATTTCAATAGGAGAAAGAGAAGACCCAAGGCATGGGATGTAGCCCCACTATCTCTTATGTGGTTTGTGTGGAGGGAGAGGAATAGGAAAGCATTTGAAAGGATCGAGAATGATTTTGTACATTAGAGGAATAGCCTCTTGTATCTAGTTTCTTTTTGTGCACCCATGATGATGGGGTCCTTGTTTGTGTAGATGAGTGGGTGACTTTTGTAGAGAACCATATTTTGGTGTAGGTTTCTCTACTTTTGATATATTTTTTGTATAAAGGGATTTTCCAACATTAATAAACTTATTTACCTTATCAAAAAAAAAAATAGTACAATTCTTTAGCAGAGGGATACCTAACAAATAATGAAAATATATCGACTAAAGGTTTCTTAAAATAAAGGAAGAAACTTTTATTGGTAAAGAAAGGTAAAAGTGAGGATGACCTTCAACTACATATGACCAAAAAATGTCAAAATTAAACATAGGTCTGCTTTCTGTCTGCCTATCTAAATGTTATTAAATAGTTATGTGTAAATAATCCTAGTCCAATATGTAGTAGGAGTAGAACATGTATTATCTATCGGGCTCATTGTATCATTGTTAAAAAATCAATATAACATATTTTTCTCCCGTGCTTTCTCACATGGTATCAGCACAATCGTGAGAGATTTATCGCTGTGCATAAATTCCAACGACTCCGGGAAGGGGAAAAAAATCAATCCTTTTTCCGACAAATCAGGGATGTCCGCAAGAAAGTTATTTTCCATCGGTTTTGTCTAAAAACCAATACTACTGCAGGGTAGATCAGCCTCTTTCACGCGCTCTCACGTGCCGTTAGCAGTTTTTTTCCGACGGAGGTTCGACTCACGCGCCGGCGTGTGTGGCCTTTTTCCGGCCAGATTTCGAAATTTTCTTTCATTCGCGAGGCTTTTTCGAGCCTACCTATCCAAGTTTCACCAAAATCCGACAACTCTTTTTTCCCGGCGACTGTTTCTGATTTTTCCGGCAACAGTATCCAGATTTCGGCTTGCTTTTCTGTTATTTGCTGATATTTTGCTAGCCCTCTCTTCAATCCAACCATGTCTTTCGGACTTGATGCTTTTGGTTCCAAAAACAGTGGTGTTGGAAATTCAGCCTTTATGATTACTTCTGAACCCCTACTTGGGAGTTCAAATTATTTATCTTAGGCTTCGTTTGTGGAGTTGTGGTGTAAAGGTCAAGGTGTTCAAGATCACCAAACCAAAAAGGCTAGTAAGGGAAATGAAAAGGCCAAAGCACAGTGGGAAAATCGATGCTCAGTTATGTAGTATCTTGTGGCGATCTATTTATTCCAAGTTGATGCCTTTGTTTCGTCCATTCCAAGCATGCCATTTAGTTTGGGAAAAGGCTCGTACTTTATACACTAATGACATATCTCTTAACTGTTATTGATGACATTTAAGACATCGAACCAAAATTTAGAATGGCATTTAAGACATGGAACCAAAAATATTTTCTTAATTGTACGCATCAATTTTACAATAAGATGGATAAAACACCTCTCGAAAGAGTGTGGAAACAAAATTCTGCAAGAAAGAATCATTAATGATAAAATCTACATGAAAGATAAAATCTCACGACAAAAGGAAGGTAGTTGGATGGGGACGAGGAGAGGAACAATTTTTGGGACTTAAGCTCCTAACTAGTCACTGTACTGACAAATTCATTACCCTTGAGGTGATACTAAATCAATGGATAAGATTCTGCCTTTCCAGAGCTTCAAATTGGCAAGGTTGTTTAATGTGTTTGATCGGACAATATCATGCTATTATACAAATTTCAACAGACAAATCTGGTGCTTTTTCATCAATATATTGGGCATTAGATGGTGCTTTCCAAGATTGACAGTTGATTTCCTCTTCACTTGGCACGAGAGGGGTTATCTAAATCCTCTCAAACACAAATGTAACTTTTTGCTTAGTTTAGTGCAACTGCAACATGTGCTTAGCTAATGTTTTAGAGCCAGAGGCCATGAATCATGATTGATTTTCTTAGCCCCATAAGCTCTTTGTAAAGATCTTCTTTTGGATATAATTTCACCACTTTTTACTGGAACACAGCCACACATCTATAGAATACTCTTATTAACTATCAAAAGAAAAATACCATGCTCTTATATCATAGCATTAAGTTGGGTATTCACAACAACGGAAGAAGCATAAGCTCAAACCAACTCAATAAACTCATATCTGTACATATTAAAACCTCATCCAGCTTCCCTTCTACCCCAGTCGTAACAAATACTAATCAGGTAGCATATAGTAACTAATACTGTCAGATTACTGGTGCCAAAATCAGAAGCAACTACTCATTCTGAAAAAGCATCTCAACCATCATAGTCCAACTACTTTCTCTCTCTGCTTGTCTATATGTTTTCATGAATTAGAATATGAAATCCAATATTTGTACTCAACACCTTTTCCACTAATGACCCCATATGTAACTGAAACAATTTAAGACTTTGGCGATCAAGTCAAACATATTTAAACCCATTATCAAGTTCAAAACTAGGAGACCTAGAGTAAACTAACAAAATCTCAATCTTTTCAAATTGTCGCCAACAAGTACTGTGATTCACAAAAATGCTCCCCGGCTTTGTTAACAATGGTAAGATCATATTATGATCCCACCATCACATGTCGCAACATTCTTTCTGTTTCTTTTCCATTTTCCCAAGACACTTAGACCTAGTTAACAACTACAAACGAATAGTTATTCTTGTTGCTATAGACACAGTAGAGTATACACTTATTCTAAGATCTGAGGTGGTCAAAAGTGCTAAAAGACTTTAACTTTAGACACAAAGAGAGCCTCAAATGTTTTCTACAATAATAAAAATGCTCCATTTACACTAGAAAATTCCAAAATACAATCATAAACCTATATGTCACTACTAGATGATTTCTTCGTATCAGCCCAAGCCTTGGAGGGAAGAGTTACCCAGTACCTATGTTGGTAGGAGTTAGTTGGCACCCGTGGAGTTAGTCCAGTTGCACGCAAACTGGCCCGGGCACCACCGTCATTAAAAAGAACTACATATCACTATACAAGCAGCAATTAATACCAAAAAAAAAAAGAACTTTATGTTAGCATTATGACATATTCTAACACAATGTTACAGATTAAACATTTGACAAACAAATATAAGCATCAGAGAGAGCATGATCAAATATAGAACAATGTATCTTGGTACTTAGTAGAATTAAACAAAGAATAACCTTTCAATCAATGTTACTGACGAACGAATATAAAAGAAAAATATTAGGTAAAGAGGAAAAAAAACAAAAGATGAAGAAACAGTATACTAAGCTAACCTTGGACGTCGTGAAGCTCTACTTCAACATTCATAAGCTCCTCAAAGAGTTCTTCAGTTCTTCCCATTTTACTAAAGACAAACAAAAAATCCCAAAAAATACCATTGAATTCACTATCTTCTGCATATTTATATAAAAACAATACTTAAGAAATAGTACTAAAAAGTAAAAGAAACCCAGAAAATACCTTTGAGTTTATAGTGTTCTTCTTCTCTTGAAATAAAATTGTATTCGCCTCCTCTGTTCTGCACTTCGCTACATTGAGAAGGAGAAAATGAGTTCAAGAATTTAATCAAGATTGGGCTTGCGCTGGCTTGTGAGCTTCAAAACAGGCCTATGCTTTGTAACGTGCAAAAATATCACAAATGAGCTTCAAAGGAACTGATGGGCAAAACCTTTGACCTTTGGGAAGGTTACTTGAATGGCCAAAATCTTAAGTTTGGGCAAAACTTTTTTTCTGGCGACCTTCCCCAAAGGGGGCCAAAAGTTAAATACTATCCCTTTGGTGATCCCTATTTAAAGAATAACCAAAATTTATAAAGTTTTTATAGTTTAGCTCTATAATTATCAACTTCAGACATGAATCAACTTCTAATTTTGAAGTTTCCAAAATCAGACCTATGAATATAAAGTTTGGCTCCACCAAAGCCTAATTTCATACTTGAATTCAAATTTAAACTTCAAGGTCTGAAGTTAGGTTTTGGCGAGCCTAACTTCAAGCCCAAAGGTCCGAGTTTGAACTTGTAAAAATGTTGTGGGGTAGCCACTATTTAAGGTGATTTTTATTTTTTATCTTGCAATTCTAATGTCGAGCAAAAATAGCCACTATTCTATTAAAATTAATATAAAAAGATATTTTTACCCTTTCTTCTATCTCTTTTCTTTCCCAAAACCTTTATCAAAATTTCAAAACCCACGCTTCTCTCTCCAGAACTCCATCTCGTTACTTCTCTACCTACATGCAGTAAGTCTTTGTCATCTTCTCTGCATCGAATATATTAAATTTCATTCTTGAAGGGAAGATAAGTCATATCACAGGAGAAATTTTAGTCCCGAAGATTGCAGATGTGTCAGCACTGAGTTTAATCCTGAGCTCAGATCCTTTGTCCAATTTCATATGTACTCCTTTGTCATCTTCTTTGTAGTGAACTTGTCGACGTTTTTCGTGAATCGAATTGTATGTTTTCTATTTTGCTTTCGAAAAAGGACCATATATGCTAGTGAACTATGTGAATTAGGACAAATATGCCCGTCATTATTAGTTCGGCCCAGATTTGCCCAAACCGTCCAATACTTGCTCATTCATGCCCTTAGTCAGACGGAACCACTATTTTGTATTTCTTAAATAATTAATAACCGGACCCAACCAAATTCTACTGACCCGATCCGTTATGACCCGACCCAACCTTATTTCTAGATGACCCCACTAGTTATTTCTTATTTCCAGCCCTTCTTTTTCATATTCTCTCTTCATGAAGATGGCTCCTTTCTAAAATCCTCAATTAGGGTTGAATATGTTCGCTATATTGAGTTTATTCTTAAGAGGTTAGTTATCTTGTGTGATTTCTACTCACTTTGCTATCTTACTTCTTTCATTTGCTTTTGAAATGTCGGAATGTTCTAGTTCTTCAAAAAGTCATAGAAGGATGTGTGGATGTAGAGTTGCTGCACTCCATCTCACGTCGCGGACTGAAATGAATCCTAGGAGACGCTTTTTCAGGTGTCATAAGCCTAATGTAAATTTTCTCTTTTTCCTTGTTAATCTTTGTTTTGACAGATTTGTATCGATGATTTTGACAGATTTGTAATCAATTTTTGTAATGATATTTATGTTTTATTGTAGAAAACTGGATGTGGTTATTGGGAATGGGAAGACGATGAATTTTCACTAAGAGCTATTATTGTCATCAACAAATTGAAAAGGGAAAAGGATGTTCTTCTTAAAGAAAGAATTGGAAACAGGGAAAAAAAAATATTTCTTATGTTATTGGGTTTCGTTATTGGATTTGTGCTTAGTTTCATGTTTTGAGGGAAGATTTGAAAATATGTTTGTAATTGATTATGGTTGTTTTAGTTGTATAATTTAGATGCTCTCCTTTACTGTAATTGTTGGATGATTATGATTGAAAATATTTTAGATGGTTTGGAATGTAATGTCATTTTTGTGTGTCACGACCCAAAATTTCCATCTTCGGACCGTGATGGCGCCTAACATTTCACTTACTAGGCAAGCCAACGTTAGAATAATATTAACCATTTTTAAAACAATTTTAAATTTATTAATAACAAGGAAACAAATGCGGAAGCAAAGTTTGAAGTATAGTGAAATAATCCATCAAAACAACGGTGTCTAAATACCATCCCAGAATTGGTGTCACAAGTGCACGGGCTTCTAGAATAAATACAAATAAAGGTCTGAATAAAATAAAGCTATCTGAAAATAAACACACAGCTAAAGTAAAGTAGATGGGGACTTCAGAACTGCGAACGTCGTGCAGTTATACCTCAAGTCTCCTCTGAATAGCTGAAATCCGAGCAAGTCTACGGTACGCCGATGTGACCAACTCCAAAATCTGCACAAGAAGTGCAGAGTGTAGTATCAGTACAACCGACCCCATGTACCGGTATGTGCTGAGCCTAACCTCGACGAAGTAGTGATGAGGTTAAGGCGGTTCACTTACATTAACCTGTACGCAGTAATAATAATAACCACAAATAATATAAATAAATCAGGTAACTCATTTATTATAATTGAAGCCAACGCAGCAGTCATAATCAATTATCATNGATAATTATGATTTAATTATAAAATAAATAATGTCAAATAGCAAATTATTATGGAAATCAGGGAGAAAATAGACAGTTTAATATTTAATATGCTAAATGTTAAATAACAATTAAAACACATAATTCAAATAGCATGTAACAATTAATGCAGGAATTCAAGAATTAATATTTAACAAAGAATAGGAGAGAAATAATTATTATAATAATTAATTTATGATTTAAAATAATTTATGATTTTTCAAGTAAGCAGGCGTACAATTAATTTGACGACGTATAGACACTCGTCACCTCGCTTATATGTCGTTCACATGCAATTCACATAACAAATAATTTAAGGGTTCTATTCCCTCAAGTCAAGGTTAACCACGACACTTACCTCGCTTTGCAAATTTCAATCAATTACTCAACCACGGCTTTTCCTTTTAAATTTGCCTCTGAAAGTTTCAAATATATTCACAAACAATTCAATATATTCAATACTAATCATAAGAATTAATTCCATATGAATTTATAAATTTTTCGTATAAAATCTAAAATTCATTAAAATATTCGATAGTGGGACCCACATCTCAAATCCTGAAAAAACTCACGAAATCCGAACACCCGTTCCGATACGAGTTCAACCATACAAAATTTGTCCAATTCCGATATCAAATCGACCTTCAAATCTTAATTTTTCATTTTTGGAAGATTTTATAAACATCTGATTTAAATTTCACGGATTCATGATAAAAATGAATATGAAATCATGAAATATAATCAATATAGGATAAGGAACATTTATCCCAATGCTTTCCCGTAAAAATCGCCCAAAAATCGCATTACCCGAGCTCAAAAATGGAAAAGAGTTGAAAATTGGTCGAAACTCCATTTCTAGAACTTACGTTCTGTTTCTGGGATTTTTACCATTCGCGAACGAGGTCAGTGCCTCGCGTTTGCGAAGCACAAATTTGTGTTGTCCAATTTTACTCTTCGCGAACGCGAGGGCTACCTCGCGAACACGATGCTTGCCTGGCTTGGCCTTCGCGAACGCGAAGGCTAATTTTCCTAGCCAGCCTCTTTCTCTTCGCGAACGCGGGGGTTCGATCGCGAATGCGAAGCTTTGCACCTCGACACTTTGCGAACGAGTTCCCTTAGTCGCGAACGCGAAGCACAAAAAGTGTCAGACCAAATTTTCTCTTCGCGAACGCGAGATTCCCCTCGCGAACGCGAAGAAGGAAACCATCAGAAAATTTCTGCAGTTTTCTTAAGTCCAACAATGATCCGTTAACCTCCCGAAATCAACCCGAGCCCTCGGGACTCAATATCAAACATGCACCCAAGTCCTAAAACATCATACGAACTTGCTCGCGCGATCAAAATGCCAAAATAACACCTAGAACTACGAATCAAACACCCAATCAAAGGAAATTTTCAAGAAAACTTTAAAACTTATATTTTTACCACCGGGCATCCGAATCACGTCAAATCAACTCCGATTCTCATCAAATTTGGCGGACAAGTCATAAATATTATAGTGGACATATACCGATCTCCGGAACGAAAATAGGGACCCGAGGTCAATAAATCCAACATCAGTAATTTCTTAAAAATCATTAAGCTTTCAAGCTTTTAATTTTTCATCAAAATTCCATATCTTGGGTTAGGGACCTCGGAATTCGATTCCGGACATACTCACAAGTCCCAAATCATGATACGGGCCTACCGGAATTTTCAAAATACTGATCTGAGTCCGTTTGCTCAAAATGTTTACCAAAGTCAACTTAGTTGAGTTTTAACGCTTTAATTCACATTTTAATCCATTTTCACCTTAAAACTTTCTAGAAAATTGTATGGACTACGCACGCAAGTCGAGGAATGATAAATGGTGCTTTTCGAGGTCTTAGAATACAAAATTACTTATTAAATTTAAAGATGATATTTTGGGTCATCACATTCTCCACTTCTAAAACAAACGTTCGTCCTCGAACGGAGTTAGAGAAAAAGTACCTGAGCTGATGAATAAGTGTGGATATTTACTCTGCATGTCCGACTCAAACTCCCAGGTAGATGCCTCTACCGGCTGACCTCTCCATTTCACCCGAACCGAAGGATAACTCTTTGACCTCAACTGTCGGACCTGCCAGGCTAGAATAGCCACCGGCTCCTTCTCGTAAGTCAAATCTTTGTCTAATTGGACTGAACTGAAATCTAATACATGGGACGGATCACCATAATATTTCCGGAGCATAGACACATGGAACACTGGATGAACCGCTGATAAACTAGGTGGTAATGCAAGCATGTAGGCTACTTCACCCACCCTTTCAAGAATTTCAAAGGGTCCGATATACCTAGGACTCAACTTGCCCTTCTTTCCGAACCTCATTACACCTTTCATAGGTGAAACCC